GTTCAGGTTTAGCAAGTTCTAACTCTGTCCTACATGTTGCAACTTCAGTCTGCAAACTATCGCAGTTAACAAATATGCGGTAACTGGTTATCGGCAATCAGCAAACGCTATTTCTTTTTATAAAAAGGAAACCTTAAAGCTCGCCTCTTGTTTCATCGAAGCATGTACAAAGCATGGCATGGGGGCAATACAAACACAAGAATGATACGGTCCCGATTCAGTCCCTGGTAAACTAAGTCATGAGCAGCTGCGCATTACGTAGACGTGGAACAACATAATGCAAGGAGAGGAGAGTTCTTTCTTCTCTAAAGAGGACGCCGCATGTCCAAATCCGCTATCACAGATTTGCACAACTCATGACAATTGCACTCTTTTTTTTTTTTGATAAGGCAATTTCTAAGCTTTAGCTCAATGGCTTGAAGCTAAGGACATGTTTGGCAGAACTTCCATAGTAGTTTTTAGGTTGAATTTAGGAAGAGCTTCGCCAAACAGTTGTTGCTGATAAGTTGATAAGTGATTCTCTAAAATGAACTAGGGGTTTAGGAGCTGAAAAAAGTAGCATCTCGTAATTCACTCCATTATAGAGAGATATCTTTCGTCAAAGAACTACTTCTCTTCTATGAGAAAATTAACTTCCACAGATAATCTAGAGCAGAAAAAACTCTACCAAACAAGTCCTAAATAGCCACAGAACTCATAAGGAGAATAGTACCAAGTTTAACCTGACTATCACGTGAGGATGGGCGACCGCCCGCCCGCCCCTGGGGCGCTGGCCCCCTCACCGCCCTGTCCTCCACCCATCCTTCACTTATCTGGCCTAAGTCAGTTTTGGCAATTTAAGACCCAAATCGTGACTTTCTTTTGAATGCATGTGAGTAAGTTTCCTACTAGGATTACATCACTCCTCTATTTATATGAGATGGTCACGACCGATTGAGAGATCTATCTATTCAATCCTTAAAAAATCAATCTATCTTACTTTTTATCTTCTACCTCAATTTTTTCCCAACCCTCTTGATGTCTAGCACTTCTCTCGATAAGATTCGCTGACGTTCTAGGTGGACTTAAGAATTCTAATGTACTCTCGTTGTGTGTCTTCCTCATGGGTCTTTCTAGAGGTGTTTATGGGTGTTTCGCGTGAAGTGTCAAATCAGTTTTGTCATTTTCTACTTAATTCAATGATATGCAATCCTGAGAAAAAATCGATCTTTACCTGTTGGTCGGCCTCGGACCTACCTTTAATGCGTATCTTGTCTATATACAACCCAAACAATTTAGTTCTTGCTAGTGTGTTGGGCGAATTTAACATCAAGATAATTCTAACATTTTGTCAATGTATCGTGGAGGTCGTCTCTTGGACGTGAGACAACAAAGATTTGTGTGTTGTTTTGGTGGCTACTTATGGTGTATAGTTATGGAGTTTTGTGCGCGCATGCGTGTCCAAGGAAGGTGTGTGTTGAGAACGACCAGTAGCTCGGTTGGTAAGTGTCATTGGTGAGCACGTTGCCCACCAGTGTTCGAACCCTGTTCGACGCTGGTGTTCTCATCGGGATTTATTTTCATAATAAAACTTCAGTGTAGCCTCTCAACACCTAGAGCCATAAAGGGACTGCAACGTGCCCGTCACCTATGGAGTGTCTCTGGTGATCCTAGAGCTATAAAGGGATTGCGACGTACCCGTCACCTATAGAGCCTCTCTGGTGATCTCTTCAAGGACACGTCTTCGTATTTGTGTAAAGTTATTGGTCTAGTTGTGTACAGGTGGAGTGAGTGTGGTGTGCGTGTGTGTGGTGTAGGTGCATGTCTGTATATAAACATATGCTACAGCTGTATCTAGACGAGAGATGTCAAAAAGAAGTGTATGTGCTGTGTGGAGGGCAGGGCGTGTTGTTTTGTTTGCCCGTTGGATGACTTATTTATGTTACGTTGCTAGAATGCTAGTGTCTTTTTTTCCTTTTAATTTTCCAATATAGAAAGCCTCCTAGTACAACTTGCACTCTAGCAAATATAACATATTTTATCATCAAAAATAGGAACACGCACAGTTCCGTTAGTTAAAAAAACATAGTTTTATTTAATAATAACGAACCGAGTTCGGTTTAATAAGGAGTCAACCAAAGGCAGCCTGTTAAACCAGGGGCTCAAAGAACTCCTCGCCTGCGGCGACTCCTACTACGAGTCGAGCAGTAGGCGCAGGGCCCACCTGCAGCGGCAGAGAGTGGGAACTCGATCCTTGCCCCGCCCACCGCCACGTCTATATAACCACACCACCGGACATGGACGGCTACAGCCCGAGTAGAAAGAGCGAACCCACGGGGTCTGTAAATCCATCCGTAGGCGATTGAGTGAACAAAGAATCCGCCCCCTCCCCTCCCCTTTTACGGGCGCTGTCACGCAAGCGGCGCAGCGCAGGAGAGCCCAGCCAGGAGGTGAAACTGGTGGCGAGGAGAGACCGCGAGAGGTACAGACACCAGGCCTTGCCCTGTTCCGTTCCTCTTGCTTTATTTTTGTCCCCTCTCTCTGGCTTAGTTAGCAGTACTAGCTTCGCTTCAGTTTGGATCTTTTGGTAATAAATTGCGGCCGCAATCAACAACAGCAGCGGAGCGCCGGAGCCGCATGAAGGGAAATCGTTAGGGTATAAGGGCCGCCCTAAAGGCAGGACAGGAATATAATAGAACAAGGCACTGTTTGTTTTCTGGGGCTGTTAAACTAGTGAAGCTGCGCTGCTTCGGATGCATCGATCGGGCTTTCGAATAAATTGGAAAAGGAAGCGACTTTTTCCTTTCCGTTTGGGGGGCTCGAGCTTCTCGCCACTGTGAAGAAACAAGGGTAGTTATCTAATCTTATCGCTGTCGTTGGTTAAATTCCTCCCCCCTCCTTTTTTTTTTTTTTTTTGGTCTGGGGGAGATGAGGGAGCATCGGATTTGAGTTGAGTCGGCGCTCACTGGGATTGGTAATGCAGGGGGGAATCTGATATTGCTCTGTCTTCTTCCCCATCCCCCAGCTTCCCTTGGGAGCGGTTCGTTCGGATCGCATGCGCCTTTGGTGTTGATCGATCGGCATAACCTTTGAGAACTTTTGGCCTTCGCCGTTTCTCTCGCCTTGCTCGGATTGTGTGTCTCCATCCGACGCACAATGCGCTGCATCTTCCTCGCTTTTTCTTTCCTGTTCTGAAGAAACCCCAAAGTTCCCTTCTTGGATTGAAATGTTCTTCACGAGGAAGTAAGGAGGGCCCCAAATGGATTCTTTTACTCTAGAAATAAATATCCCCGGACAGAAAAGCATACCTACTCTTAAATTCCTCCTCGAATCAACGGGTTTCGTTTTGTCTCTGCAAGTTGATGGGAGGAGACACCTGTCCTCCCCTCTTTACTTGTCCGGTTCCACTTGTTCCATTCCTAACGCAGTTACCCTTCAGCCATCCACAATGCCATCACTTATCTGCAAACTCCTGCTGAACATGCTACATCCATTTTCATGTAGATTCATTGAGGTGCTTCTGTGCATTGGTCAAATCCTCTATTGAATGATCTTAAACCACAGCCTCAGAAAGCCTTTTCTTCTTGGGTTTCGAGATTCTCCATTCAAATCTGCCTTTTCTCTTTCGGTTTCGAGATTCTCCATTCAAATCTTCGTAGGTGTGATTTGTGAAGTCCATCTGACATATGTGGAGGCAATCGGGAAAGACAGGGAAGAAGACCAGAAATGGAATTGGGCCCTCAGCCTCCTCCAGGCCAGGCCCCCAGCTAGTCCTTTGGTTTTGGACGCTGTTTCAGTCAGCTGCTATCTGTCCCCGTCCTCCCACTGTTATCCGAACGGAAACAGCGACCCAGGAAAATGGAATTAAAATGGAAACTAGGCCCCACACCTCAGCTGCTCATTGGACACGCATCCATTTAGAATTTTCTTGAAAGGCACGGGGTGGTGGATAGGAGAGGAAAACAAAGCTTGAGTTGGTCATTTATGCTGTTGAGCCAAAATTGAGGTCAAAACAGAGGCAGACATAACTAGGGTTTTGTTTGGTATTAACATCTCGGTCTTTCAGAAGGCAATTTTATACTAAATAAAAGCTGGAAGCTTTGACAATTGTCCCTTAGAAATAGTCCCTATCTGCAATATGGGATACCTAGTGTGAAAGCATTGTTTCTCCAAGTGCATCATATGATGCCTTTGCCCAGCTGCAAACAGAACTACTGTTTGGTTATTTAATTAGTTTCTAATTGAAGTTTCACATTGGGACTTGCAAGAAACAATGTGAGAAGTGGAGCTTGTGATTCCTTGAGTTTATCTCAGAAACATCTAATCATGGCATGACGTTCGGGAGGGTTTATGATAATTTTTAACTTTAGACGTCTGAAACTGAGTCAAAACAATCAGGAAAGCAAGTTTAAGTATTCTTTATTTTTGGCAAAGGAAGCAGTGTAGTTGAAATAGCCGCTAGATAATTTGCTTTAAAAAAGGGTTCTCTAAATAGTGAAGGCTTGGATGTTGATATATTTGTTGTAGTTTATTTATGGGTCTGTGAGACGACTCCTTTCTTCACTCCTAAGGTTACTGAGTTCGTGATCTTTCCTGCTGCCCTCTGAATTCTTATGGTTGCAGGTTTCTAGTATATGACCACCTCACAAATTTGCCCTCTGAGCAGTTTCTTTCTTCTTTCCTTTTTTTTCCTTAGGAACTGACCAGTTTCTTATGGTTTAAGCGATTGCCTTCTTTCTTGATCTCCAAGCCCAGGCAACGAACCCGTTGCCCAAACGTGTCTCCTTTTGTTTATCTGAGTTTGAAGAGCGTCACTGCTGACCAATCTGGTGCCTTCTCATTGACCACTTTGCCCCTTTATACGTGGCTTCTTTTTCCTCATGCACTTGGTGATATCTGTTGCTTCTAAACATGGTCCAAGAATCGATTTTTCTTTCACTTTGCTTGTTTCTTTGTTGCCCTCATCCTATAATTACGTGTCACAGGTCTCGATCTTCCCCATACACAGAACGGGGGGAGCGATGGACCATGAGATGGAGCAGAAGGGATGTCTCTGCCGGATCAAGAACTGCGCCATCGAGCTCTTCTCTGCCATGGAGGAGGATCTGGAGGTGGACGACGAGGACTCGTGGGACCTTGTCGGAAGGGACCTCCGGCTAAAGGCCACCTTCCTGTACATTGACCTCAGCCGCGTGATCGCCTCCTGCGAGGGCGAAGAGCACAAGAAGGCGCTCAGTGTCCTTGCCAACAAGTTCTTCTACTCCATGGATGAGGTGAGGATCCTTTACCCCTCTTTTACCCTTTCATAATAAAAGCATGTTTTGGTCAATTGCAAATTCAGGGTAGTATTTGTTGAATTTAAGTGTCATGATACTCTAAGGCAAGTATTTAGTTCTTGGAGCAGGTTTTATGAACCTTTTGGATCTTCCCGGATATTTCAACACCTTTGCGCATCTTAAGCAAGTAGTACTAGTGCTTACTGACTAGGCTTAGCCAATAGAGAACTCAGGTGCATCAATTCCTCTCTTGGAGCACAGCTATTCCGAGTCAAAATTAGTTTTCGGACAACCTTATATTATTATTATTAAATCAATGTTTGGTGGCGGTCTTTGTACATGCAGAGTAAGCTTCATGTAGGCAATTAGCACACTTGATGTGTTGATACTGTTGATGTCTTTCTGATTACATAACAAGAGGTGCTTTCACAAATGGCAGCTGGGCGACGCAGTGGAGAGCAGAAGCCTCCCTCTGACGCAGGTGCGCTACAGCGACACCGCTGACGCGCTCCGCGAGGTGGTCGCCGTCCTCGCGCCGTCCCTGCTGCAGTTCGGCCCGCATGATCCGGAGGAATAGAGAGATCAGATGCGCCCCCTGCATTCCTGCAATGCAAACGCGGTGTCGTGACGCGGGCGAGAGAGCTGGATCTGATAGGATAGAGGATAGCTCGATGCTCGAAACCTCCAGGACAGACGGATGAGCCAGCGTGACAGAACATGCCGTGTGCGATCACCTTCACCTGTGTGGCTATGTATACGTGTCTCATATTTGGCTTGGCGTCTTCCCACTTTGCGTTTCGCGTGCTGCCGATGCTCTGCTGCTCTCGGATCCTGTAGCCCTCTATGTGAAATGCTGCATGCTGCATACAGAGCTTCGAGGCAGATCTAAGGATGTGAGCTTTGATGCGCAGTTCAGTAAGGAGATCTAGTTCCGGTGTCGTCGAAGCACCACAATACCGCATGAATTTAACTGCGTAACGTGCCCATGCTGCATTTTGCCTCCCAACTCTCGGATCCTCTTTGGTTGGGCTCTAGGATTTCGTCACCTGTCTGGAGAACGGGACGGATCGCATTAGACGCGTCCCGTGCAAGCAACGTAGGGAGCGCGTAGGCTGTGCTGGCCTCAAAACTGTCCTGATGGCTGATGTAAGCCTGGGCTCACCCGGGCTGGTGAACGTAGCCACCACGTAGGGAGCATAGGAGAGCCTGACCCGGAAGCGCTTGTGTATAAGCCACGAAATCCTGAAGCTACGACAACGTCGTGCACTGGTTTATGGGACTGCTATGTAGGAGTATATATGTGTGTGCCTATCTATTCCAAGTGGATTTCTGGTCCACCTCACGCCCAAATGAACGGCGCTGCCATGCGATCCCTGCTGCGTCCTCCGTGTGCAATGGGCACTGGGCAACGGGGCAAGGAAACGAGCCGTGCCCGTGCCGTGCTGTTCTGCCGCGAGAGAACGTGGCAGCGCGCGGCGGGGGCACGACGCACGACGACACTAACGGTAGCGGAACCAGGCCTCGGCAAGGCGCGTGGGCTCGCGGCTCGCCAAATCCTACTACACTAGTGGGGACTCTGGATCCACCTGGCTGTGCTGTTGGACCGGTTTGAGCAGCAGGTAAACGTGGCCGGCCCACTAATTGGGCTTGTGCTCTCACGGGCTGCCGTGGGCTGTACAACACGTCTGCCGGTCCAGCCTTGACCAAGAGGGGGTCCAGTTTCCATCCACACTTTTGCGTCTCATGAAAAATGCGGTAATCGTCAGGTCCGACCAGTAGATCAAGAGTTTTCTGGTCCGATGATGCCTAATAAGTGAGGAATATCAGGCATTCAGAAGTAATGAAAAGAGGCTCTAGACGGACATACCCTGCCGAGGACCCTGCCGGATGGTGTGGTGTCGAAGAAGGACATGGGCGCGTGCAAGATGTTGTTGAGCATTTCCTTGAAGAATTTGTTGGCGCTCTCGAGACCCAGGTGATCAGGAACGACCATGCCAACATAAGCACCACCGAGGCTGCAGCCATGATGGTGTAAATCCGGATGAATTGAGAGGCCGCCCTTCTCGCCGCCGGAGATCCCGTAGGCCAGGCAGTAGTCACTCAGCCACCACCGTGCCTTGTCACTCCGCTGAAAGGACTAGCACGGACAAGGGGCTCAGCCGCATTAGGACCAACACGGACAACGGACATGCAAATATTCTATTTTTATTGATTTGTCGTCCTATTTACTATGCATGAAACTCATAAAAATGCCCATTGAGAATTTGAGACTGGCCATGCTACACATACCGTACGCTTTGTCAGATGTATATTTATATCCGAGTCCTGCACCCACTTTAGGTAGCGTCGGACTCTCTTGGGATTTTAGGATCTAGTCATCCAAATTTTGGATAATAAAAATCCTCCCGGCCCCTTTGGATTGAAGGATTTTGGAGGGGAAAAAGGAGGATTATGGATTCCATAGGAAAGTACACTTTTGGTCTCTTTGGAACACAGGATTTGTGCATAGGAAAAGCAAAGGAAAGTTTCCTGTAGGGTTGGTTTTGTAGGAAAACTGCAGGAAAAAAACATGCAGTCCAACTTCTTTGTTTTCGTTCCCGTCGAGGCAAAGCAAGCTATGATTCGCTAATGCAAAAGCTTGATCGGTACCACATAACCGGAGCAGGAGCAGCGGGAGTGCTGTAGTTAACCCCTGCCCGTGGTTGTCTCAGACTTTCTTTTAATAGTATAATATAGTATACTGTTCTTAGAGATAATATATTAGCAAACAAACGTTCCTAAGTTTTCCATTCATACGAATTTCCTGTGTCCGTCCAAACAACCACTCAAAGTTTCATATGGTTTTCAATCCTATGTTTTTCAGTTATAATCCTATACTATTTCTATGTTTTTTCTATTCCTATGTTTTCCAATCTTGCGTTCCAAAAGAGCCCTCCCTGTTTGGTTTCTTGGATTATGTTTGTGGATTCTAGGAATTTGAAAGCTTATTTTCCAATATGCCCTCAATATTGTCTTCTCTGATATCATGCACTTGTACATGAAACAGTCATACATACATGCTGACAACCATCTATCCGTCCAAAACACAACATATGTCCGTTTGGATCTACAGGAGATTTTAGGAATCTAGAGTCTAGGCAAAGTTTTTTTTAATCTGCCCTCTGTTTGGCTGATACATAAGCCGGTTGAAGTTGTTTTGCTGTGAGAGAAAAATATTATAGATTCTAGCTGATAAGCTGACCGATAAGTTCAAGCGAACAGAGATGCTAGATTAGCGAGAGATTTTATGTACTAGTTCAAAACATTTTTTTGTCTATAATACCGTTAAGCATTTCTTGTCGCTGTTGTACTGCAGTTTGGGATCGTGAACAGGCAAACGTGAGCTCTAGGCCCAAACGTGAGTAGTAGCGGACAGAGTGACACACTGCAGTGCAGGGTCTAGGTAGGGAAGACAAGACAGGGGCAATATTGTCTTTTGATGTGCTGGGAGGAGAAGAAACGAAGAATCTACCGTTATCTGGGTTTCAAGGATTGGGAGATTTGAAGAATCTGAATGCCAGATTTTTTTTTTATCCGCTGCATTATCTCTCCCGTTTCGAGACACCGGAGATTCTTTTTAGCTGATTTCCAGAATCCCAACCCCATCCAGACGAGCACTTTATGCAGGTTGTGGACGTTACCGGAGAGATCCCTCTACTATGGATCCCAGCTCCTAGTGAAGGTTTCTGATATACCAGTTCTAATTTTGGGTGTTTACAATTGCTGTGAAATTTTCGAAATATTGTATTTTTCACTTGGGTCTAAAAAAATTATACCAGTAAAAAAATTTCAGTTAAATTCATCTTTAGCTCTAATTTTTTTCGCTGGAGTTCGAAAAAAATAAAGATAAAGATGTTTCACTTGATAAAACTACACGACATGAGAAACAACGGAGCGAGTACAAGTAAATTTGTCTTGAACCGTAGTTTCATGAAAAATATACATCATTATTCTGATCAATTAAAAGACTCAAAAGGTAAGCATAGTAGACAAGACTATGTCTTAGAGATCAAATCGATGTCCAAAACTAAACTTACCGACTTCTTCAGTCCTAAATTATAGCATGCGTCGAGTAAACATTTCAAACGCGTCGGGTCGATGCGATGCAAAATAAAGTAACGGCAGTGTAGCATCTTCCTGTCGAACTGAGCATACGATTTGTCTGTCAGACGACGGATATCGAGCGTGACCTACGCCTGGCGCCTGCCACGTTATCCGAACTGTCTGGCTGAGCAAAACGCCAAAACCTCACCCCATCCATCGATCGAGAACGAGAAGGCGAGAACCACAGCCGGTGCACGAGCTCCGCGATGGCATTGCGGCTCGCCGTACAGGCGCTGTCCGCGAGGAGCCTGTTGTCGCGCGCAGAAACTACGTCCCCCAATAAGCCACCGAGCAAGAGCAACAGCAAGCAGCAGTCGCAGAGGCCAGGGGCACCAGCCGCCGCAGCCGCCACCACCAGCAGGAGGCGGCTAGCAACGGCGGCGGGGGCGGCGGTCCTGGCGTCCCAGCTACTGCCGCCCGTGGCGAGCAGCGCCGCCGGCACGTTCGACCTGCGGCTCACGCTGCCGGAGAAGTCCAGCGAGGAGGCCGAGGCCGTGGTGCGGACCCACGCGCGGAACCTGCTGGGCGTGAAGCGCTTCATCGACGCCGGGGCGTGGCGGGAGCTGCAGGCGGCGCTGCGCGCCAGCGCGTCCAACCTCAAGCAGGACCTGTACGCCATCATCCAGGCGAGGCCCACGGGGCAGCGCCCCGAACTCCGCAGGCTCTACTCCGACCTCTTCAACAGCGTCACCAGCGTAAGCAGTGCAGCTCGGAATTGTCTTATCTCCGTTGCAGTGCAGGTGGCTAATGGCATGGATGTGCTTGCTCATCTTGTGCTCTGCTCTTGACCGCAGCTGGATTACGCCGCCAGAGACAAGGACGAGGTCCAGGTGCAGGAGCACTACGGCAACATCGTCTCCGCCCTCGATGAGATTTTCGCAAAGATCATGTAGATGCTCATATATTTAGGCGCCCTGTTTGAGAGGTTTCTTCTCACAAAACAGCTGTAGCTTCTAGGGAATATTCTGCACTGTAACAAGAAGCCGTTTTCTCTCTCTTTTCCAGAAATGAATTAGGAGCCGGTAAAACCATTATTTCTAGCCAAAAGAAACCTGCCAAACAGGTCGTTATATTTCTAGGACTAGGATACAAAGACGGAGCACGGATATAGAACTAGGAACTAGGATTGCGTTCACAACTTCACATGCAGGAAGAGCAACAAATGGCGACAGGCAAAAAGGTTCCTTCCTGCTACGTAGCGGGTTCTTCCTAGAGAGAACTATTTAGCTAGTTCTTGTGAGCTTCCTCCGCTACATCTATTTACCCTACTGTCTGAAGGAGTAGCCAAAAAGAATCATAGTTATTTACAGGCGCAGCAAGGCCACAAAAACTGCAGTTCCTAATAACCCTCGCTGTTTAGCCACCAATGTTTAAGGCTAGTTGCAGGGCAGCTGAACGGTTTCAGTCACCTCTCCTTTCGCTTTCTGATAGAGAAAGCACGTCCTTGGTGAATGGTGTCGCCACTTGGTGTGCAAAATGAAGCAGTAGTTCTCCATATGTTCCATCCATCTACCAATAAAGTCCCAAAGTCTGCCTAAACTGAAGCCCGTTGGCAGTGACCTACCATCCTCTTGGCTCCTCCTTCAAATGGTTGCTTCCAAGAATTTGATCCTGATAAGGAACATAAATTGGTCAGTAAGCCAAGAACAGCACAGGTGCTGTAATTTGAAGTTCAAGAAAATTCATGAAAGGACCTGGAATCTCAAGGTAAAATGCAGTCGTCTGTGTGGGAAAAGAGTGTTAATTGGCGAACAGCACTTCAAATTCTTACCATTGTAATGCCAGGAAGCACGAAGCTAGCAAGATTTTCATCCACTGACACGCTAAGTGGAGGCATCTTGGTCCTCAGTCCAGGCAGTTGGCTCGTGCTGTTTATAGAAGAAACATTATTATCAGCGGGAGAAGCAGCTGCATCACAAAATCGAACCCTTTCAAGCATAACTATAATCTTCTTACAAAATAACTGTAAAGGTGTTTCATTAGATGATGCTTACATTTGTAGAAGATCATTAATGTTCTCTCTTGCCCGATGGAAGAGATCGAAATTGTTATGAGGCTGCAAGGGAGAATAAAGATAACTATAAAATAATGCTCATCATGTATTATTGGAGGAAAAGGTAATGTTGTTCCCTATGCAGTCTAACTGAAATTGAAGGGGTTATGCTATTCTAAAAGAAATATATGCTTTTCTATTCGGATATACATTTCTTGTTAATATTGATTAACAGAAATTATGAATAAAAAACTGTAAACAGAGTAAGTAACAAAAGGAGGACTATACAAACCTGAAAACTCTGAATATTTGTTTCGATTTGATTAAGAAGCCTATTATTTTCCTCCAGTAGATGCTGCACTGGACGATCTATCTCAGAGGCTACATGATGGAAAATACGGCATTGTCATATTATATTACAAACAAAGAATTGGTCAAATCTTGCCAAAGTTTAGGACATGAATCTGTTATAGTGCACTACTGAAAAATACAAGTATCTCAAGTGCAATTTATGACAAACAAAAATAACTGATTTACAGTATCTCATTAACCAAGGACAAGACAGCAGGCTACATGTTTGTGTGTAGTTTCAGATACTAGCAAGTAGAAGGCTGTGTAATCCTAAATTTGTTCTAACAAGTACTACATACCCAAAGTTATTCTCATTCATGTTCTTGAACAGTAAACATCCACGACTTACAGGTAAAAATATATGCATTTAAGATTACATATTAAATATCAAGCCCAGTGGGGTGCCTACCTGCGATAAACTTAGCAATGGAGTCAATATAAAGTGAAATAGTTCAGTCACTCCAGTATTGGCAGCAGTATTTATCATCTCAAATGCGAAAATTTCAAATGCCAGATCATAATATTTGATAATTGCACGAGACAGTTAACAGCAGATAACAAGAAACAAAGAAGATACATGGAAGCAAACAATTAGACCTGATACTCAAGTAGTCAAGTGACCTACCAACCTCCAGATAGAAACATATTGTTTTGAACATTATGAGGCATAAATGAAGAGGCTCTCATGCCTGTTTGAAGAGGATGATTTGCTCCCCACGGTGCAGGCTCTACAAATTTATCCTGATAAACAACCATAATGCCACCATTTAAAAATATATAAATGCAAGTCATGTATGAATTGACCAAGTAGATAACTGACATGGTATATAATGACGAGAATGTATCTGTGCTCAACCCCCTTAGGTGCTCCAATGATCCCGCAAAAGAAAAAGAAGTGCACGAAAAATTCCACCAGAAACATGGATGGATAGTGATGCAATGATCTATGCTCATGCAAACTTTAAGGGTTGAACAAAACTTTGTGAAAACAGAAAAAAAAACTAAAATCAGCATGCAATTGGGTTGGGTGCAGTGCTCATCTGGATCGGCAACCCACACCAAATCACTTGCTGATTCTCTCTTTTTTTGTTTCTCCTTGCACAATTTTTTTTCAACCTCAATATTTTTTCCCTTGAATACATCATTGTATCATCTAACCATCCATATTTTGGTGGAATTTTTTATGTGTTTTTTCTTAATCGTGGGAGCATGGGAGCACATGGTACATTCTCATATATTGACTTTTATTATACTCTCCATCGACTTCAAAATTGGATTTGGAAACGAGCCTTAGCTTTTCTAAGTGAATTATTTTCTATTTTTCATATAATCAGTGGCAGTAAATATAAAGAGAACAATACAGAACAAAGTTCATCAAATAGAAAGGAATATTAATACCTTTCTTTCTTTTGTATTTCTCCCAGTATGGTGTTCTTGGGGTTTCCTTCGCCTTGTATTTACTTTCTTCTACAAGATATATCCAAATTGTTGGTAGTATTAATATTAAATAAAATGAGCAACACAGTTAAGTTGGATAGAAAATGCACATTCAAGTAAAGGCGGATTGGTACAGAAATTATCTGTTATTTAGCTAGCTATACTTCTGATGGAACTTCAAAATAAAATAAAAAATTTAGTTCATCATATACATCAAATGAAATAGTTACCATACATTCATACCTTAGTTGAATTCGAATATTACAGTATCCATATCAATCAAAAGGAATATGTAAGTGTGGGTCAGTTTATTTCAGCAGTAGACCTATTGCAGCTAACAAACATATAGAACAAAAAGGTGGAATACTGCCAACAGAGAGATGGGTGTGCTTTGTCATGTAATAAGGTCATGCTGTCTTTTGATAGCCCTTCCTTTTTCTTCAGAATACAAATCAAAAGTGATAGAATAATAGACCAAAATGGTACAGTGATTGCCAACTCAGGTCTCACTATGATCATGGTCCAAATGCTCAAGTCTAATAGATTGAAAACAAAGTCGTCTATCATTCATGCTAGTATTAGTTATATGCACACATGGTTAGTGGAATTCTATTCAGATCAACTTTCAGATGTAATATAAGTTTTGGCATGGCAAGTCAGGAAACAGATCAAGGAAGAAAGGAAGTATGTACGTGTATATCCAAGGAAGTGATTGACATTTCTGAACATTTTTGCACAAGTTGCATATATTCAGTGTTCTTACGCATTATGCATCTTAAGCAGATAGTATCCTCGTAGTCAGAAATGGAAAAAAATGGATCCTTTTTTAAAGAACAAATATCATTGTAGAACAGCATGTACGGGCTATAGACTGCTTACCCCTACCCACTGGCACCTCATTGTGACATCTCTTACTGTCTTGTTCGGTAACGATGCTGCTATCTTTATATATTTCATGATGCCTTGTTCATGAACATATCTGAGAGTTTTTCATGATTGTACACAAAAGAAAAACAAAGGGAAATATTTTAGCAACGAGTTAAATGGATCCAAACTTCAACAAGTGATAGAAAAATTTTGTGGCAGCATCGTTCATGTAATCTGTATCCATTGGACACAGCACTAAGAAAAAAAAATTCAACAATAATGGCAAAAATTTCTGAAAGGAACAGAATTACAAAACAATATGTATGCATATGATGGTTGAGACAGCTTACTTCTCCATGCCATCTCTCAGAATTTCAAGCTCAAGCTGTGTCCAATCCGCAGCCAGCGGCCCACCATATTTGAGGTTCTGCCCGGAATCTGTTGGCATATTAGATGAACCAGTGGAAACAACCACTGAAGGTGTGGTCAGCATCCCCACACTGGCATCCATCCCAGTGGAACAATCCAGGTATGTTGGCATGCCTCCTGAGCCACTAGTGGCTACGCTTGTCGGAAATGAAACTACATGCTGGCTGCAGAGTGACTGGGAGAATGCCCCAAAGTTCATATTAGGATCGTCTGCCATCTGTACCCCAAAGTTCATATTAGGATCGTCTGCCATCTGTAGGCAGAGTAAATTTTCGAGAACAGATTTTGGATCTTCCAGCCTAGAAGGAAGCTCAGCTCCCCCAAACAACTTCAGAAATGCCACAGTACAAGATGAGAGAGCTCCGTTAGCTACAGGTTGCACTGCATTTTTGCACAACCTGGACGAGTTTGGTGCCTACTGCTACAAGAACCTGCACATGGCATTAAATATGTCAAAGAAAGTTAACCTTCCAAACTAAAAGATTTGCTTTAACAGAGGAATCTCGAAACTTCTATGTTAAGACTGCCGGCAAAAAAAAGAAGCTCAAGAAACACGAAGATGAAGATGTATGTTTCAGAAACAGATTTTCTTTCACTCCGCATGTATCCAATTCAAAACTGAAACGCTCAGTCAGTTGTGTAACTGACCACCTGCCAAATTATGCTCAAAAAGCTGTGTAACTGACAAATTTTCATAAACTCTATGAAGAACACAACACTAGAACACCAAATGATCAAATTGGTAGGCACAATTAGGCACAACTGAGTATGCTGCATGCAAATCCTCGGAACAACAAAAGTAAGCCCATTAAAAAAAGTAAATTGTGGACAGGGACCTGGCCAGCGTACACCTGCAGTTCATAACTACTAGAAAATGACCTAGGAAAACCAAATCCAGTAGCAGTGATAATGATTAGGAATACTACAGAAAGTCAGACTCTGAGACCCCGCCAATCAACCGCGGCCGTACAATCTGCACGCAAAGCGCTGGCAGGGAACTGAATTTTCACACGAGCGTCGTTCATACCAAACCCAAAATTTAGTTAAAAAAACGACGCACGATTCCGGCGAGAGAAGCAATCCAAAAGAACGCTGGGAAAGGGACGCCGGTCTCGATCCTGCCGGACCAGGATCAACCAAGAAGCACGGGCGGCGACAAGAATAATCCTGCTCAACAAACTTACCCAGCCCAAATCCGATCTAATATCTGCTCTCACGCCGCAGCAAGCAGGGACCGACCCCTGACGGAGAAGGCAATTAAGCTCCGGCCGGTCTGATCTTCGCCTGCCTGCGCGTTGGATCGTGTGGCGTGGCGGTGTGCTTGGTGGTGGCGCCTTGGTGCTGGTGGTGGTGGAGTGCAGTTTGCTTCTTTAAATGGTGTGCGTTCCAATGAGAGGCCAGCAGAAAAAGCGGCGGCCCCGGCGCACCAGTGAATCCGTATATGCCCCTCCTCCACTCCAAAAGCAGAGGTCGTGTGCCGATTTAACAACTTGCGCACGCAAAAAGAATCAGAGATGGCGGACGGAAGGGAGGGAGGGAGGAGGCGATCTCTGTTGGAGTTCACCGGAGGTCCAGAGACCAGAGCTGCTCTGCTGCCTGCTGCTAATACGGGGAAGGGGAAGCCACCGCCCACCAGCGGCAATGGCCTCCCAACAATGGATATTTAACTTTTTACCATTGCGTGAAGATTTCCAAGGAAGAAGACGCCAGGAGTAGAAAAGAAAAAGGTAATTAGGGCCATCGTCGGCCATGGCGGGAGCTCGAGCGAGGAATGGATATAGATCGAAGAAATAGGCGAGGGTAAAACTGTCATTTCTCGTGGTCGGTATACGTTGTCAGGTTAAGTTAGCGTAGCATCTCAGCGAAAATAGTACAAATATATTAAATGCTTTCTCTCTATAGTAAATACGTAGGAGCAGTTATAACAGTGCTATTTGGAGAGGTGATAACCATTATAATGATAAAAAGTTAAATATCCCCAACAATAATTGCCACTATTGGTTTCTAGCTTAGTGTAATACCTGTAGTGTTACGAGCCTGTTTAGCATCGTGATTTAGATATAGGTAAAATTTTCGAAAATGGGTTTTTTGGATTTTTGATTTAAAACATATTTGATGTGAGAAGTAAATCCTGTGTGACTCAGTTTGGTGGACTCGAATCAATGCCAAGTTAAATTTTTTCGTGCGTAAAGATATTTTGGAATGTCGAACAATAATTCTAGTCAATAGATAGCGAACGGTTTATTCTATTAGATTAAGCATGAAAAGCAACGTTTATAAATAAAATAAAATCTATTAATAAATAGAACGATATATATATATAGCATTGGTCTAGTAACATGTTACGTATAGACTCGTTTTAGTCCCTATGATAATTTGGTAGCGTACTCACGACAGCTGTCCATCTGACCGCTTCATAAATTCAAGTGATTGGTGTGAAAGCACGAACTAATGAGAGAGAGCGCAGCGGTTTCATTTATTTTCCTGACATGCAGCGTACTCGCTTGGCATTGCAACTATGCGCCGTCTCGTCCATGCCACTGTTGTCCTGCGATCGACGCCTTGTGCGAGCGTCCTTGTTGCTGGTACGCGGCTGCTGTCTTTTACCTTTAAGAAAGATGGCCGACCTGCTGCTCGCATCGTCTCGTCGATCTGCAAAGCTGCCGAAGTACGCCGTACTGTCCCAGCGTTAATGAAGTTGGCCGGGTCACTCACGTTGTTTTTGCCTTCTTTTTCTATTTCTGTTGCCTCGGTCTTGTTTGGCTCTGTGGTCTGTCCTTGCTTGTCCTTGTCGCCTCTGCTTCGTAAAGCCGTCCAGCTCTGTTGCTCACTTGCTTCTCTGCTCTCTGATCTTGCTTGCCTTGTCTACCTCAGCTTGCCTGCCTCCTGCGGCCTTGTCTCTGTCTGTCTCGGTTTTATCTATGCGCTGCCCCTGCGTTCGCATCCATGTGGAGGTCGAATCCTCAGCGCTCGGCTCATAGCGTTCGTGCCCTGGCCGGCACGCCGCACCACCGTAGCTTCTCCCCGGCGCTGCTTGCTGCGCTGCCCCTCTCGCAGCCACCTCGAGGCGCCCAGGGTCACACCACCGTGCTATGCCTCGCCCCGGCCCGCGCCTTCCTCCTCGTGAGCGCGTGCGTGCCCTCGGCCGCGCGCCTGGACCCTTGTTGCCGGTCCTCCTCGCGCCGTGCTGCCCCCATGGCCGCACTGGGCCGCTGCTTCTTCCCCGTGCTCGCAGCGTTGCTCCTCCTCTTCCCTACTCTCCGCTCCTCTGTGTGCAGCACCGGCGTCCCCTCCCCTTCGCCACCGCTGAGCGCCGGCCGAGCCGCGACCGCTCGCGTCTACGGCCAAGACGGCCGTAGCACCACACCGCCCCCTATCGCGCCTACTGCGTTGTCGTCGGGCCGCTGTGCCGCTTTTCCTGCCGTCGTCGTTCGGTTCTCCACTGCTCCACGTGCCTCCTTCGTCGTCGTCCGCGCTGGGCGCACCGCTCGTCCTGCCGTGGCCGCACCATGCGTCGCCGTGCGGCCGCCTGCGTGGGTGCGTAGCAGAGGTGCCTTGGGCCGGTCATGGCCATGCCGCCGATGCCCACGGAAGCGGCGGGTGCCCTCGCTGCCTCTGCGCACCGCCTCCATGCCGAATCGCCGCCGGCCAATGATTTTCATCCGTGCTCTGCTTTGAGGATGACGAGAGGGACCCCGGGGTAAGGAATGAATATTTCCAGGGTGATTGCTGCGAATTGGATGACTCATATGAACAGTAGAGTACAAATAGATAGAAGTGTAGGGACGTTTTTGCAAAACTGCCATCGCGTTGGGTTTGGTCACGTGGACCGCTGCCTTGTGCGCGTCGTTGGGCCACCAGTCTGGTGCCTGGGCCGCTCACACCCGCGTCCGCCTGGGTTTGGCCTGGTGCCTCCTGGGCCGCGCGCGTGTCTGGGGCCGAATCGTGCTGCCGGCCTATGCCACCCGTGCTTGGGCCGCTCGCGCCCGCCGCCTAGGCTGCTTGGCTCGCTGGACCAGGCCGAGCTGGGCCGCTTCGGGACCAAGGACATTTTTCCTTTTTCGGTGTTTTGTTAGTTTTAGCGAGCGTCTGAATACTTGGAAATTAATAATAAAATGTAGAAAAATCATAAAAATACCAAACTAGTTTTGTTGGGTTCCTAAAATTATGATCTACATGTTAGTATATTTTTTCACATAGATTGATAATATTCTTGGAAGCTATATAATTAATTTAAGGTACTTAATATTGTAAAAATATAAATTTGTAGTAATTTTCGTGATAAATTGGTAATAGTGTTGGATCTAAAATTGTTACAGTAGGTTCCTAGCAATATTAGCTGCTCACTGTAATTTTTGTAGCTCCAGAATAATTAAATTGCTAGATAGATAATGATGTTCTATTTCGAATAAAGATTAAGTTGATATAATGAAATAAAGAAACACCTTGGGACTGTATAACTAAACCTTTGTTGGGAAATAACGTCTTATTCGCCAACTTAGATACGTAGCTTAGTACGTTAGTCGTTAGAACTAGCTCGTTTACTTGAGAGACGTAAATCGTATTTTACGAGTTAGGATTTTAGTTAATTAATTACGTCTTTGCATTGCATCGCATTGCATATCATAATAGGGACGTCGATGGATCAAGGAGTCATCGGGAGTTGCTGGAGAATGGTGCCTTTGGAGATCGAGTTGCCATGATGGAAAACTAACTTCTGATTAAATCTTACACGGGCAAGCCTAGGTGCGTAACCCATACTTTTCTGCAGTTTAAATTATATTTGTGCATTAAGTTTTAAGGAGTTGATTGAAACCCACTTGCATATATATATCTTTATCCTATGAGTCTTACTAGTATTATAGGATCGTGTAGAATCTTTACCCACTTGCAATTTAAATTATTACAGGACTCCGGTAGAAGTCGAGTGATTGCCTGTCACTCGTGAGAGATAGAAAATATATTACTGCATTATTATCACTTGAAAAATATAAATGGTGGAAAAGAAAAATTGTGACAGGGCTGGAATATGGTTTGGATATTGGTGGGTGTAAGAGGTTGTGTCGCCGCGGACGCGGGACATAGCTTGGTTACACTATTTTCTCTGTCTGTGTCGGTTAAAGGACCGGCCATTGCATAAGGCTCTAGACAAGTCATAGACTTATTATCCCGAGCACATACTTGGGTATGGACGCTTGGAAGACTTGTTGCTCTCTTGTCGTGGATCCGGCTCTTTCCGGACCGACTGTCAGG